GAAGGAGTCTGTTCCAGACTGCATTTGTCTTTTGCCGAAGCTCAGAGTCTGGCACAGGATCGGGAACGTTCGAAGCTCTGTCTGGCGTGTCTGCCTTCACGACCCGAAAGGAGAAGCGGCGATGGAAGATGAAGACGTCAAAATAGTTTTTAGGAAAGTAATTTTATTCACAGACACCTTCGGAGTGATGTCACCGTCGAACAGCAAAAAGCCTTTGTTATATTGTGCTGATCGATTTGCTAATGACCTTGAATTTGCAATTATTGTGCTGATTATGGTTACCACGTGAGAATGGTTTCAAATCTGATGGATGCTTGTTGATAGGCATGAAGAGTTGTGAAGAAGAACTGAAACTTTTCATATCACCCCATTTTTTCGCAGTCTTCAACCAGCTGGATTTGTGATGAAATTCCTTTATACTGCTCAAGTTCCAGCAGAGAATCATTAGTCAGAAAATTGGAAGACATGAAAAGACATCAACTTTAAATGCAATGCGTCTCCATAAGGACAATTTCAATCGAAATTATTTTATGATCACTTAAGATTCCGTTACGTTTACGTGAATCGTATGTTAATAAAAGAGCTTTTCAATCCAGTGATTTGATGTACGAAGAAAATAGAAAGCTCTTGCTGAGGTGGGAGGGGGAGGCCACTTTCATTAAACTGAAGTTTGTCAAATTTCAGACCGTGTTGGTTGCCAAATATAGATGAGGCAGTTGGTGCCCTCAGGAAGTCACGACGCAAGTTCTCTGAAAAATTTGAAATATGATATTGCAAACGGATACAATTTTTCAGCTTTGCTGTGTGTCGTGATCGTCGTTTTGAGTCGTTTCGCGCTAGCATCGTTGGTTGTCGGCGATCGCTATTCTCACAGTTTGTCAACGCTTGTACTTAAGGAACTGCTTACTGTATCCTAGGTCTCTCCTCTTTGTCTTAGTCAGACACAATGCACGGCCTCCTGGTCGATGTCTGACGTGCTTCGCTTGCCGTAGAAAAAGCTGTTGGCCTGGAGTGACAGGATTTTATTCAGCCAATTTGTTTAGCAGGCAAACTTTGTTTTCCTTATTTTTGCATCGATTGAAGGTACTGATGTGTAGAAGAAGACTAGGATCATTTTGTGTTTGCCTCTGCCAAGTATTATTCGCCATGTCCGAAATCGGTTACTGTCCACGCTCTTGGACCGTTATCCTTAGTCTTACTCTATATTTAAACGACCATTATCGTGCGTGCCATATAATAACGCTGACTTAACTGGGGGAATGCAAAATGAATAACAATGCAACGTACAGGGGGCATATGTTTTGATAGGGACTGCTTCATTCTCAGCCTAGATATTAAGCAGATTACAAAAGAACTGCAAGTGCGAGGTTTTCACGTACTTAGCTCTAACTGACTAGCACCGTCTATCTACATGATTGAACAGAGATATTTAGATTTGTCGACTGCCTCCATTGATTCATTTTGGGCTGCACTTTTGGATCTGTTGTGTGGAACTGTTCCTGACAACGTTTTCGATTACTGGAAGTTAAGGGA